GCATCAGTAACAAATGATGATGTAGATTAGAGGATTAGATGTAGATGTTCATTTCCAGCTCTCACTGAAAAGGCTCCTTCGGTTCTAGCTGCTAGCAGCGCGTTAGGAGCCACCTCCTCCAGAGAGAGAACTTCATTGATGCCAAGTACTTTTCAGACGTGTCCCTGGAGGACGTGGTACCACACACATTCATACTCTGATCGATACCAACGTGAGTGACACAAGTTTACACGACAGACACATGGACCCAGTGCTTCCCACTCATTCTCTGGACTGTGGCGGCCATTCCATTTAAAAATGAAGCGAAACATGTTTTACACTTGTGTTGCACACTATCCAACGGCTGCACGCTCGTGCTACGGTCCATCGTGTTTTTACCGTCCATGCAGTCAGACCTCATGGTGTCAGGTGCAGTTGTGTGTGCGTCCATGTTTCTGCCATAGACTGAATTAATTCTGTGGGAAACGCTCGTTTCACCGCTCAGTGGCTGGATGAAGACTTTAACATGTTTCTCACACAGCAACTGTGATCAGGTTATATATTAGATCATATATGTTCTTTGTTATCAGCCATTAGAAGCAGGTCATTATTTTCTGTATCGGTTTAAACAAATGCATATTGATCCTATATAGTATTACACAATGTTACTGCAGTATTTTTAGCCTACTTCCAATCCACTCTGTTATCTATATTCCTGGGGTGAAGTTTCTCTGGATGGTTTCTTGCTTCAGAGCTTTTAGTTTTTATATTTTCTCTCCTTCAGTTGAATCGGTGACATTAAAACACAGCAGAGGAATCTCTGTTCCTGAAATCTGTCCCAGCTGCAGACGCTGCTCTGTGCAGCCGCAAACATCCTGTGAATCGTGTGTCATGTTTCTGGTCGTGCACGAAAACCAGCGCTCGCCGCTGATGTGATTTCTGTGTTTGTGGCTGCGTGACAGTGCGTGTTTTCTCTCTCTGCTACCAACACACACTCTCCTCCATCCATCCATCCATCCATCCTGGCAGCCTGTCTGGACTCGACACCATTCTCCTTCCTCCCTCTCTTCTTTCTCCGTCCTCCTCCGCCTCCCCTCTCTACGGCAGAACAGCGAAGAAAAATACAATATTTCACTGGTGATGATAACGAGAGAGAAAGAGAGAGAGAGAGAGAGAGAGAGAGAGGGAGAGAGAGGGAGAGAAGCGCTGCAGCAGTGGATCGTCAGACACAGAGGAATGATAATTAGAAAGAGATTGACTCGGCAACAAGAAGAAAAAGAGGGAGAAGGGGGAGGAAGAAGAGGAGGAGAGGAGCCGGGCCTGCAGCAGTGAGGCGAGCAGAGGAATACATGAGGAGAGAGAGAGGGAGAGAGAGAGGGAGAGAGAGAGAGAGCAGTTGAATTGATCATATTCTGATCAACAACAGCAGAAACTGCGGAGTATCATCAGCAGCAGTTGTGTTTTTTTTCGGGGGGGAGATGACGGTGACAGCAGCAGCAGGGGGGAGGAGGAGAGAGAGAGAAATGTGAGCGGGGATCAATAATCCTCCTCCCTCCTCCTCCTCCTCCTTCTCCTCTTCCACCACCTCCACCTTCATCCCTCCATCACCTCTGCAGGAGCCGCTGAATCCTGTGAGCCTCTGCTATTCCTTACATTTTTTTCTGGAGGCTGCGTCGTGTCGTGTGAGTGTGTGTGTGAGCATGTGTGTGTGTGTGTGTGAGAGCATGTGTGTGCGTGTGTGTGTGTGTCATGTAAGTGTGTCGGTTATATAGGCCATAAGGGTTTTTATGTGTATGTGCCGACATCTATGTGCATGTGCAGCCTGTGTTCACAGTTCAGAGTGTGATGCATGTCTGAATGTGTTTCATGTGTATGTATGCGCATGTACGTGAAATTGGGCTGTGTGTGTGCATGTGTGTGCATGTGTGTGTGTGTGTGTGTTCGTGTGCATGTGTGTGTGGGTGTGTGTGTGTGGCAGATTACACGACTGTAAAATTGGCCAATTAAAATCGTCCTGCTGCTGTTAAATTAGACTGAAATTATATAAAAGATCATGAGACAGAAACTGTCTTCAGATGTGGACACAGTGACTCAGTGTGATTATAAATCAGGCTCCATGTATTTTACACTTTGGTCTCAAATTTAAAATCCAGAAAATGTAAATATGTTGAAGTGTAAATTACTGATTTCTATAAATGCATTTTCTCATCAAATGAGCTGATTTCTAAGTTTACAGGCAAACCACACGTCTCTCGTGATTTCCTGTTGACAGTTTGGATTATTGTTGATGAACAGTTGTGCTCCTCAAATTCTTCTTAAATCTGTGACGTCTGAATCTTTGTCCACCAGAGGGCAGCACAGACAAGAAGTGCCCACAGCATTTATATGGATCATCAGCTTTTATCTTGACGAGTTGAGACAGTTGGAAAACAGTTTTATTATTTAATCATAGATTTAATTTGACGTTTGTGTCACAGTCTGATGACTTTAGTGCTCCCTCTCTTCTCGCTCCGTGTTTGGTCTCCACCACCTCCTGAGGGAAACGTTCCACTGTGATCACCAGCTGCTCCTGAGCTGAGTCTGGGGACAGGAAGTGGACAGTGGGTCCTACAGCTGTTTCTAACAATGAGCTGAAACTGGCTCTAGAGTCAAAGGGACGATGTGTCGGTTCTGTTCCAGAGGAAGTTATTAAAAATACCTGATTTGATCTGTTTTTGCAGT